TTAAATTTTATAGTTAATTTCGTAACCACAAAAAAGTGTGAAATTATGCTTAGTCCAATGGTATGGACTGCCGACTTTAAATCTGAAGGTTGCGGGTTCAAATCCAGGTTGGAAATTTTAGATTTTAGATTTTATTTATATTTGGGTAAATTGAAACTTCATAGTTAATATCGTAATACTTAAAAATTGTGAAATTACACTTAGTCCAATGGTATGGACTACTGACTTGAAATCTGAAGGTTGTGGGTTCAATTCCACGGTGGAAATTTTAGATTTTAAAATTGTATTACTTTTTGGGGTAAATTAAAACATTATAGTTAATTTCGTAACCACTAAAAATTGTGAAATTACACTTAGTCCAATGGTATAGACTACTGACTCTAAATCTGAAGGTTGTGGGTTCAATTCCAGGGTGGGAATTTTAGATTTTAAAATTGTATTACTTTTTGGGGTAAATTAAAACATTATAGTTAATTTCATAACCTTTAAAAAGTGTGAAATTAGGCTTAGTCCAATGGTATGGACTACTTACTTGAAATCTGAAGGTTGTGGGTTCAAATCCAGGGTGGGAATTTTAGATTTTAAAATTGTATTACTTTTTTGGGTAAATTAAAACATTATAGTTAATTTCGTAACCTTTAAAAAGTGTGAAATTAGGCTTAGTCCAATGGTATGGACTACCAACTCGAAATCTGAAGGTTGCGGGTTCAATTCCAGAGGGGGAATTTTAGATTTTAAAATTTAGTTCTTTTTGGGTAAATTTAAACTTGATAGTTAATTTTGTAACCACTAGAAAGTGTGAAATTACACTTAGTCCAATGGTACGGACGGCTGACTTGAAATCTGAAGGTTGTGGGTTCAAATCCAGGGGTGGAGTTTTGGTTTTTGAAATTTTATGTCTTTTGGGGTAAATTTAACTTCATAGTTAATTTTGTAACCACTAAAAAGTGTGAAATTATGCTTAGTCCAATGGTATGGACTGCTGACTTGAAATCTGAAGGTTGTGGGTTCAATTCCAGGGTGGGAATTTTAGATTTTAAAATTGTATTACTTTTTTGGGTAAATTAAATCATTATAGTTAATTTCGTAACCTTTAAAAAGTGTGAAATTAGGCTTAGTCTAATGGTATGGACTACTGACACGAAATCTGAAGGTTGCGGGTTCAATTCCAGGGGGGAATTTTAGATTTTATTTATTTTTCGGTAAATTGAAACTTCATAGTTAATTTCGTAACATTTAAAAATTGTGAAATTACACTTATCCAATGGTATGGACTACTGACTCGAAATCTGAAGGTTGTGGGTTCAAATCCAAGGTGGAAATTTTAGATTTTAAAATTTTATGTCTTGTAGGGTAAATTTAAATGTTATAGTTAATTTCGTAACCACTAAAAAGTGTGAAATTATGCTTAGTCCAATGGTATGGACTGCTGACTCTAAATCTGTGGGTTCAAATCCAGGTTGGAATTTTTAGATTTTAGATTTTATTTATTTTTGGGTAAATTGAAACTTCATAGTTAATTTCGTAACATTTAAAAATTGTGAAATTACACTTAGTCCAATGGTATGGACTACTGACTCGAAATCTGAAGGTTGTGGGTTCATTTCCAGGGTGGGAATTTTAGATTTTAAAATTTTATTACTTTTTGGGGTAAATTAAAACATTATAGTTAATTTCGTAACCTTTAAAAATTGTGAAATTACACTTAGTCCAATGGTATGGACTACTGACTTGAAATATGAAGGTTGTGGGTTCAATTCCAGGGTGGGAATTTTAGATTTTAAAATTGTTTTACTTTTTTGGGTAAATTAAAACATTATAGTTAATTTCGTAACCTTTAAAAAGTGTGAAATTAGGCTTAGTCCAATGGTATGGACTACTGACTCAAAATCTGAAGGTTGTGGGTTCAAATCCAGGTTGGAATTTTTAGATTTTAGATTTTATTTATTTTTGGGTAAATTGAAACTTCATAGTTAATTTCGTAACATTTAAAAATTGTGAAATTACACTTAGTCCAATGGTATGGACTACTGACTCAAAATCTGAAGGTTGTGGGTTCAATTCCAGGGTGGAAATTTTAGATTTTAAAATTGTATTACTTTTTGGGGTAAATTAAAACATTATAGTTAATTTCGTAACCACTAAAAATTGTGAAATTACACTTAGTCCAATGGTATGGACTACTGACTTGAAATCTGAAGGTTGTGGGTTCAATTCCAGGGTGGGAATTTTAGATTTTAAAATTGTATTACTTTTTTGGGTAAAGTAAAACATTATAGTTAATTTCGTAACCTTTAAAAAGTGTGAAATTAGGCTTAGTCCAATGGTATGGACTACTGACTCGAAATCTGAAGGTTGTGGGTTCAAATCCAGGGTGGGAATTTTAGATTTTAAAATTGTATTACTTTTTTGGGTAAATTAAAACATTATAGTTAATTTCGTAACCTTTAAAAGTGTGAAATTAGGCTTAGTCCAATGGTATGGACTACCAACTCGAAATCTGAAGGTTGCGGGTTCAATTCCAGAGGGGGAATTTTAGATTTTAAAATTTAGTTCTTTTTGGGTAAATTTAAACTTGATAGTTAATTTTGTAACCACTAGAAAGTGTGAAATTACACTTAGTCCAATGGTACGGACGGCTGACTTGAAATCTGAAGGTTGTGGGTTCAAATCCAGGGGTGGAGTTTTGGTTTTTGAAATTTTATGTCTTTTGGGGTAAATTTAACTTCATAGTTAATTTTGTAACCACTAAAAAGTGTGAAATTATGCTTAGTCCAATGGTATGGACTGCTGACTTGAAATCTGAAGGTTGTGGGTTCAATTCCAGGGTGGGAATTTTAGATTTTAAAATTGTATTACTTTTTTGGGTAAATTAAATCATTATAGTTAATTTTGTAACCTTTAAAAAGTGTGAAATTAGGCTTAGTCTAATGGTATGGACTACTGACACGAAATCTGAAGGTTGCGGGTTCAATTCCAGGGGGGGAATTTTAGATTTTATTTATTTTTCGGTAAATTGAAACTTCATAGTTAATTTCGTAACATTTAAAAATTGTGAAATTACACTTATCCAATGGTATGGACTACTGACTCTAAATCTGAAGGTTGTGGGTTCAATTCCAGGGTGGGAATTTTAGATTTTAAAATTTTATTACTTTTTTGGGTAAATAAAATCATTATAGTTAATTTCGTAACCTTTAAAAATTGTGAAATTATGCCAAGTCCAATGGTATGGACTACTGACTCTAAATCTGAAGGTTGTGGGTTCAAATCCAGGGTGGAAAGTTTAGATTTTAAAATTTTATTTCTTTTTGGGTAAACTTAAACTTCATAGTTAATTTCGTAACTACAAAAAAGTGTGAAATTATGCTTAGTCCAATGGTATGGACTGCCGACTCTAAATTTGAAGGTTGCGGGTTCAATTCCAGGGTGGAAATTTTAGATTTAAAAATTTTATTACTTTTTGGGGTAAATTAAAACATTATAGTTAATTTCGTAACCTTTAAAAAATGTGAAATTACACTTAGTCCAATGGGATGGACTTCTGACTCAAAACTGAAGGTTGTGGGTTCAATTCCAGGGGGGGGATTTTAGATTTTAAAATTTATTTCTTTTTGGGTAAATTTAAACTTTATCGTTAATTTCATAACCACTAAAAAGTGTGAAATCATGCTAAGTCCAATGGTATGGACTACTGACTCTAAATCTGAAGGTTGTGGGTTCAAATCCAGGGTGGGAATTTTAGATTTTAAAATTGTTTTACTTTTTGGGTAAATTAAAACATTATAGTTAATTTCGTAACCTTTAAAAAGTGTAAAATTAGGCTTAGTCCAATGGTATGGACTACTGACTCTAAATCTGAAGGTTGTGGGTTCAAATCCTGGGTGGAAATTTTAGATTTTAAAATTTTATGTCTTTTAGGGTAAATTTAAATTTTATAGTTAATTTCGTAACCACAAAAAAGTGTGAAATTATGCTGAGTCCAATGGTATGGACTGCCGACTCTAAATCTGAAGGTTGCGGGTTCCAATCCAGGTTGGAAATTTTAGATTTTAGATTTTATTTATTTTTGGGTAAATTGAAACTTCATAGTTAATATTTTAACCAATTAAAACAGTAGAATTATGCTAAGTACAATGGTACGGACTGCTGACTTTAAATGTTAAGGTTGTGGGTTCAAATCCAGCGTGGAAATTTTAGATTTTAAAATTTTATTTCTTTTGGGTAAATTGAAACTTGATAGTTAATTCCGTAACCACTAAAAAGCATGAAATTATGCTTAGTGCAGTGGTTCAGACTGCTGACTATAAATCTAAAGGTTGCAGGTTCATTCCCACGCTGGGAATTTTAGATTTCAAAATTTTACTACCTTTCAGGTCAATTGAAACTTTACAGTTAATTTTGTATCCACAAAATAGTGTGAAGTTGTGCTTAATCAAGTAATACGGACTGATGACCCTAAATCTGAACTTCTGAAGGTTGCTGGTTCAAGTCCCACAGTTGGAGTTTTAGATTTTAAAATTTTATTAATTTTGAGGTCAATTGAAATTTATATTTTTTTCAAGTTTGAAACCAGTCCACACTTCTAGTCTAGCAAAAGCCAAAAAGTAAAAAAGCAAATACTTTTAGCTTGAAGCAAATAGTGAAAGCATTTGCTCTCATTTTTATTCATGCAAATAAAAGTTATGCTTAAAAATACGTAGTAAAAAAAAAGCAAATGCTAGTTTTTATACATACGACCAAATGTTTCAATGTTAATCATAATTGCATCGTTTATGTTTCAGTAATAGATTTGAGGACCTACATGGATCTGTTTGGGCCTACAACGACGCCCATTCACTGAGCGGATTCGGGATTTGCCCATCGAGAACTCGAAAAGATAGGAGAGACCAAGGCCAGTTGCTTTGGTAAAATTTTTCATTCAGGTAAGACAAACTTCCATGAAGACTCAACTCATTAGTTCAATTCCCCCCCCCCCCCAACTAAGCCCTAAGACAACACTGAGTGTACACTATTTACAAAATATGTCCGGTTTTATTTAGTTAAGTGGCTTTCAGGCTGTTAGTTCTCCCACATTTTAATGGTGGTCCCTCATTTGACATGTTGTCATCAAACGTTCTTTTGTCAAAGCCATCGGGGCAGAATATTTTTGGCATGCTGTTGGAAAGAACCAATTTTCAACTTTTGTTCTTGTGAAAATCCTGTTGCGTGACATCACAGCCTGTGTTGTGATGTGAATGAGTTCTACCTGATTGATAAACGTGACCCGACTCAGAGGTGGCATGTCTTGGTGACAGTCCCTCGCTTGTCAGCTGGTATGGAATGTCATTTGGTGACAAGTGAACGTCCTTATCCAAAGTCAAGGAGTAATGTCCCACAGTATCTCCGGGGTTATCCACGATGTTGCCGAGCGGCTCCGAATCCTCCTCAGACGTTATCGTCATGACGACTGTCTGCTCCATGTTCCCAAGGGTGCCCTCCGAGGACGACATCATGGCCATGTGTGAGATGTCCTGTGATTGGTCAGCCAGGTCTGGTACCAAGACTGTAGATTCAGCTGCAGATTCCTCGGGGGCTGATTTGGATAATGCGCAGGCCTGAGCGTACAGTCGTAGCTGTGCTAGATGGTGGTGCAGCAGCTGGGTGTGCTCCTCAGACATGTGTTGCAGTAACTCTTGCAAAATGGACTGGTTCTCGCTGTCGTTGGTTGGATGTTTCAAACTGGACGTGTGAATCATGGACAGCTGCTGCTTGAGTGACATGTTTGTGTTGGACAAATACTCAACCTGGAGGGCAAGACGGATGGGCAGAGAAATTATTTGTTTACAGATGGAATTTTAATAGACCAATCCATTAGGCTCTGCCCCATGATGTGTAACCAATCACAACCATGACAGCGCACACCAAAGTCTGACATTTATGCACTTCATGATGTGTGCAGTTGGAGCATGAATGCTTAAGAAGGCACATGTGTTGTTACCCAGTTATTTAGTGCAACTAGAGTTTGAGTGAAACCACGAATCCTCTACACAAGGATAAACGACACATCTGAGCTTGTGTACAAAATGTGTGCAACGGTTTGTCTGCATTTATCATAAGCAGCGTCAGCGCATAAAACAACGTAGAACGTGTAGCGTAGAACGTGTAGAAAATGTAGAGCAATGACAACAACAGTGCACACCATGATCGTCCACAGCCATGACAGCTGGCATCCTGACAGAAATCTGACCACTGAAAGAACGCAGTCGCATTAGTGTGCCTGCATTAGTTCTGATCAAGGTATGTCCCCCCTCCCACTTTTGAGAAGCGATTGACGCCCTTGGTACCTGTTGCATGCAGGGAACAAGATCCAAACTCATTCTTAGACCAAGACCAGATGGAATGCCCACTCACCTTTGTACGAAGCCTTTCTATAGTGCCTTTCATCCTGTGCTCTGTCTGGGCCCACGTGGTCCGCTCCTGCTCAAGAGTCTTCTCCAGACGTTCCTTCTCCTGCAGCAGCAGCGACAAGTTGTGCTCTGTGTAGCAAGTCTCGTCCTCCAAATCCTCTTTGCTTCCTTCGTCTGGTATCTCAATAAGGACAACTGTTTACGAGAGGGAAAGGTTGAGTAATTATCCTGGATAATAATTCCTGTAATAATGAAAGTCGGTCATCAAAAGGTCACTCCAGGTGTGGGCTACACAAAGAGGGCAAATGATGGGAGGAGTTTATGGAGTAGAAAGGTCGACATATGTGTTGCGCTTGAATGGGACAAATGATATGTAGCGGTAAAAACAGGATACAGGCAAGAAAGTCCAAAGTGATGCAGTGTGTCAAGAACATGTAATTCCTTGTAACTGGGTGCAAGCAATCCCTCACTTTTTCAAACCTTATTCCTAAAATTAGGTGGGCAAGGTGAAGGACAAATGCCAATATTTAATTAATTGTTGAAGTCAGCTCTCAAAATGTACTGCGACCCTGACTTATTAGATTTTTTTTGTTGCTTAGAACCTTCCTGAATCCTCCAAAATTCAATATACTTAAATAACACCAATGGCACACCCTTTGCACCTTGTAATTTCAATTTGTAAAATCCACTGTCAATATTGGCCCTCATCCACCCCAACCCCCTAAAAAAATGCTGAACTTTTGGTTGTTGTTTTATTTATTTTATTGACCAAACAAGTGCAGGAGTGAAGACAACTGTATTAAACATGCTGTTGTCTACCCATTCCCTTCTTCCATATGGATTCACGATATATCAATTGAAAACAAAGTGGGTGGGGGGTGGGGGGGGGGGGGGGGGGGGGGGGGGGGGGGGAAGAGTTCTTCCTTGCATCAAATGCCTCCCCCTTGGCTTTTTGGTCAGCTTCTTCTAATTATCCTTCACTGCTGGTGGCATTATCCACCTTAACCTCTGGGTAAATGCTGCAGGATTCTTGGAGGGTCAGGGTTAATATTCTTACCATCTTACCTTCCCCATTGGCAGTGCTCTGGCTCGGATCATTGATGCAGGCGTACTGGTACTCGATCTGCGGCTGCTGCCCGTCAGTCTGCTCATAGCCCCGGGGATGATGTGTCTGTCTCCGATGGCTGCTGTGACTGGGGGACTATGAGGTGTGTTACCAGGCTGGTACTGTTGGGTGCTGGGTCAGTGTATGTGGTGAAGATCTGGTTGACATCCTGGGTAAAATAGTGGAGTGAAGTCGTTAAGGTGGATAAAATGAGACTAAAACCTGCAGGGTTGCAAAAGATTCAATTTACGACACAAACGTACAGTGATAAATTTAGGTTCACAATTAATTGTTTTAAAAGGCACAAAGTGTTGGCATTTGATATAATCCACCCAAATCCTTGTTGAACTACCATACCTGCTCACAAGGTACATAAATTCAAACTGATTAAATTTATTTCATGTTTTTTTTTTTCATGCAGATTGTACAAGGGGACCATTACATCACAGCAACGGCATACTCAGTTGTCTAGAAGCAGCACTGAAACTGTGGATGTTCAAAAAATAAGTGCATTTTCAAACACTTTTAACCCAAAAGGTGTGTCTAATCATTCTCAAAAGAATGGATACTTGAGTCAAATGTTTGATTGTGAAATTTATTTCAGAGAGTCTTTTGACCCTAAATCCCTAGCATGATTTACTAGGAACCATACCCATCCTGGCAAATTCCAACACCATATGGGAAACTGCACACACACATATTTCTGACTTTGATTCTGGAGGTGTGCCAACCCAATGTAAAAGACTGTCAGTTTAGGGGTACTGTACCCATCCTGACAGATTCCAACAAAACATGTCGTTGGGGTTTGATGGATTGAGTTCTGTTATGGTTAAAGCTATAAATAAGTCCAATGAGTTTAGGAATTCAAGCATCAGGAATTTACAACATTTTCTGAGTGAACCATGGTAGTTTAACCACATGTGTAAACAGTGATCAGCTTATTACTGTTTAAAAGGAACAAATGTGTGCTTGGTCGGTTTTAATCCGAGCCGAAAGTGCGATAATTATCAGCACCCAGACTCCAACCAGTTTTATCAAACACTAATATCTGCTAAGAATAACCAGCCCAGGTATCTGTCAATTTCATAAAACTCCCACAAATGGCACTACCTTGTCCTGCTGTCCACTACCTTCAACTTATCTTAATTCAACTCAAAAACATTTTCACAAACATGGACCACAAGTCATCTTGTAGCATGACTTGTGAAGAGAAAGTGAAAACATTTTCCTTAACCTAAGACTTATTTCTTGGGATCCAGTCACAAGTATGCGAGCGCTTGGTCTTGTTCCCAAATGCAAACTCACCCCCAAAGTTGATGCCTTTATCCACGTGCTTGACCCTGTAGTGCGCCTTGAGGAGAATCTCATCAGTGAAGAGACTGTCCTGGGAGCAGAATGGACAGTGCAGATGCGGAGCCTTCATCAAGGAGTGGCTACACTCCCTGTCTGTGCATTGTATGGGCGTCCAGTCTGCCTCAGCGCCTTTCATCCGCACTGATGGATGCGCCTACAGTTGCAAAAAAAAAAAATTGAGAAAAATTGTCAACAATCAAATTTATATGTATGATGTAAAAAACAATTATGTAAATGTATAAAACAGCAATGCCAATAAAATCAGTAAAAAAACCCTCATTTTCTACTCAATCAAAACCTTCACAGAAATTTTCAAAGTGGAGGGGGGGGGGAACAAATTAGGCCAACTAAAAAAACAAAAACATGTTAAGCATCCCTGCCTGCTTCCTTTTTGGAGGCTGCCACCTTAGGCTCCTTTTATTTTTTAACCAATTTTTTTTTTTTTAATTTTGGCCTCTTACATTGTATCTGTTGCATCATGGAGCTATAAACACATTTCGATATAAAGCTGGTATGTAATTTTCTGAGTTTAATGGCAGCCATTTAAAACAAAAACCAAATGGCAGCCATCTTGAACAATAGCCCTGTCGGGCGACCATTTTGGAGGACAGAAAAACAAGGGCCTCTCGCTTCCTTTTTTTTCAAAAAGCAGGACCCTAACTCCCCCTAAGCATGTTCTTTTTGGAAAGATTCCCGTATCCGGCCATCACTTGTCAATGTCATCCCATGGAGGAAGGAATGGTCATCCTGTGCAGAATGAGACTGGTCTGAAAATGTGTGTTTTCTCAGTAAATACCCCAATAAATTCCCTGCTAAATTTGACTTTTTAAGGGCGATCGTGAAGTGAAGGGCCCCTGTTTTATTTTGATCGAATTAGAGTCAAAAATATGGTTTTTTTTGCTCAAAAATCACATTTACAATCAACACAGACTTTTCTCAATTCATTCTAGTGAGACCCGTTTTGCAATTGTGAACAGATTCTAGGGGTAGAAAACATGATTTTCCTGCGCAGTTTGTGCCTTGCGATTCGGCACACCGTGCGTGCTCACGGTACATCGCATGGTGATCGCCATCTTGATTTTCAGGTCGTGTGTTTTTCCCTAAAAAAAAAAAACCCTGCCCTCTATCTATGACATACCTGTTGATTGAGAATGTCGCAAACTAGTTTGGTAGGTCTAATAATTTTTAAAGTGGAATGTTCCCTTATATAGGAACCGGACCCTTCAATTCACGATCGCCCTTTATAGGACATATTATTATTATCACTTTCTGATGGCTGATAGGTCGCTGAAGGAAAACATTAGTGATGGCCAAATATGGGAATCTTTCCGAAAAAGCCTCCTAATCCTAGCACTATAGCCATAGCGAGCTGCAGCCATTCAAACTGGGCGATTTAACATTTTGCTTTTTTGTTTTTTTTATTATTTTTACGACGAGGTGTCCTAGTCCTACTACAAAATATAAATAATTTTTCAGAATCTCTTGGGTACCTACCAATGTCAATGAATAGCCATGTTCAATAACTCCTTTGCCTTGAATAATCACATAAATAAATTCTGGGGGAAAATATTAAAGGGGAGGTACATCATTGGCTTTTGCTGTAATTTTCAGAATTGAACTATTTGAGGGGTTAGTATGAAGTTGGATCAGTAGTTGAAAAATAGTTAGGTTTTTCCAATGGTGGTCGGCCGACCACCGTTGGAAATGTATACAAAAATACCATTTTCTTGAAAATGACTTCACACCAGGTGCCATGATTTTACAGGATGCTATAGACTGTCATTTACCAACATCCTAGTAAGGTATTTCGTAAAAACTTGGTAGTTTTATTTTTCTATGTTTGCAAATGGTGTATATTCCCTTTAAGTTGAAAAACTATAACTAGTGTTCAGCGTAAAGTTAAACAGCGCCCTCCAGGCATGATTTTACAGGATGCTATAGACTGTCATTTACCAACATCCTAGTAAGGTATTTCGTAAAAACTTGGTAGTTTTATTTTTCTATGTTTGCAAATGGTGTATATTCCCTTTAAGTTGAAAAACTATAACTAGTGTTCAGCGTAAAGTTAAACAGCGCCCTCCAGGCAAAAAGTGGTTTAAAGGGTTTTTCCAAAATTCGAAGCCAGCTACGGCTTCGTCTGTTATAATAATTTGAAGATTATGAAATTTCCACACAGCTACTCAGATGCAGAAAGCGTGAGTTGTCTAATAAGAAGAGACAAATAGGTGTTATTAGGCTTCCGTTACGGGAGACGTATGCGTCTCGTAAAAAAACAAAGACGGATGCGCGTCTGCGATGAAGACCGAGGTTTCGAAACAGCTTGCATGCTGCCAATCGAGCGACACATGAGGGCAGCATTCAACAACATAAACACGCGACTCGTGTAAATCTGCCGCTATCCGTATTCTTCTGACTCTGGTCTGAGTGGCTGAAAACCTTCTTATTTATTAGTATTACGTCAGTATCAGTACTACAAGTTTGTTTTCATTAAAGGTAACATTAATTTGGTTGAATTTAATAGCTATTTGTGAAATCTGCATTATTTTATTTAGTGAAATGTACTGCAGAAGTAGCCGTAGACGCACTGCGTTTATAGCGTAACTTGTTATGATGTTTCGTCGTGTGTTATTAGCCCGTACTAGTGTGGCCGTCGGTATGCTGCGCTGAACCTAAGGCCACACACCGTGGTCCGCGCACTACTGAGGACGTTTTCATAAAATTTGCAGGGAATTTCTTACATATGGTTGTATTCTACGATGGCCCATCTATCACTTCTGGTATGCTTAGGTGTAATGATGTTCAATTTTCCGAGATATTCTTGAATCTTTCTGGAGCCCATATGCACTATGAAGGGTACACACCGGTAAATCGATCCGCCAAGCTCATGAATAAAAGTTATACCCTCAAAATATTCGATATTAGAGAGTTCTGAGCGCCGTAAAATTGGGGAATTGAAGAGATATGGTAGTGAACCTCTGGCCCGGACTTGGGGCTTCCAATTCTGAGCATTTTGGATGCTATTGGGCTCGAAAGTGGCGCTATTTTGCCATGTTGTGGAGGGATCGTTTTTCAAGATGGCTACTTTTCCGCTTTGGGGAAAATAGGGGTCGTCTTCTTTGCGTGAAAATATCTCGAAAAGTCAATGGTCAACCCACCATAAATTGAAAAGAAATCGAAAGATGACACATTGATCATCATTTTTCTGTGCAGCTTGAATACCTGTGAGAGTTTTGAGTATTTTTAAAAGAATTTTGAAGTACGGGCATTTAGCACTAGTGTCTATGGGAGTTTATTTGCAGGTATGCACCCTATAAAGAATCACAAAGATGGCCGTTTCGCGCATGCGCTGTGCCGCGGCAGTGGTCTTTTCAGTGGGCGGAACCTACGGGGAGGGGGAAAAAGTGTTTTAAAGGTATCAACAAGGGTTTTTTTCCGTAACGGATGCTTCCAAATCATAAGGGAGCAGTAGGCTATCATCTGATTACAACAATTGATAGTTGAAAAGGGGGGGGGGGGCATTTTGAGCTTTAAAGTAGCTGGAACTCAATTTATTGTCGCTGGGGGCGCTCTACAGCTTAGCAGGGGCAAAACAATCACTATTTTCGGGCTTAATATCGACCTCGGATAATATTTTTCTTTCATTTTTTTTTTCAAAATATTGACTTTGGAGATATTCTGCTTGTCCTGAATGTGATTTTGTGTTAAAATTTAAAAGTTGCCTGCTATTATAGGGTACACACCGGTAAATCGATCCGCCAAGCTCATGAATAAAAGTTATACCCTCAAAATATTCGATATTAGAGAGTTCTGAGCGCCGTAAAATTGGGGAATTGAAGAGATATGGTAGTGAACCTCTGGCCCGGACTTGGGGCTTCCAATTCTGAGCATTTTGGATGCTATTGGGCTCGAAAGTGGCGCTATTTTGCCATGTTGTGGAGGGATCGTTTTTCAAGATGGCTACTTTTCCGCTTTGGGGAAAATAGGGGTCGTCTTCTTTGCGTGAAAATATCTCGAAAAGTCAATGGTCAACCCACCATAAATTGAAAAGAAATCGAAAGATGACACATTGATCATCATTTTTCTGTGCAGCTTGAATACCTGTGAGAGTTTTGAGTATTTTTAAAAGAATTTTGAAGTACGGGCATTTAGCACTAGTGTCTATGGGAGTTTATTTGCAGGTATGCACCCTATAAGCGCGAGTTGCAAATACGACGGCTGTTTCCTGTACCATGCATTTATCGTCTGGGGGCCACGTGCACTGATCTCTATTTAGGATCTACGGCACAGGAAACAGCCGTCGCATTTGCAACTCGTGCCCTCGCGCGCTCCACAAGCAATTTGCATAAACGCGACGTCACAGCTTGAGGTCATCTCTTGTCACATTCAAAATGGCTGTCATCACCGGACGTTTCACGAAGTTTCACGTTTCTTGAATTTGTGGAGTAATTGAGCTGAAAGCAGCCTAAATGATGTTTGCTATCTGGAACTAGGAAAACGACCGTAATACGTGTTCTGTCATGGCCCATAGACTTTGTGCAGGAGCTCTGAGTGGTGGCCCAGTATGGATTTTTTTCCGACCACCCCAACTAGTTGGCGACATTGAGAACATATGGTAATCCTTATCGGTAGGACACCTCTATTTTTACGAGTTCTGTTCAAAACTGACTTTTGTACTTCTAGAACTATGACGCTCCGCGTGAGCTGAGCCTCATAGACACAGAACTCCGCAATACAAAAATGTCCATCAAAACACAGACATTTTTCACAGAACCACTTCACAGTTTGCCCCTAAACTCCATACTGTACCTAATGACATACTCACGTAATGTGCGTAGAGCAAACATCGCTGGATTCTGTTGGTTTTTTGACCAAAATTATGAAGAATATGCCTTTTCCGCAGTGAGCCAACCTGACACTTGAAATGTGCAGGCATTATGGTTGATTGTTGATTTTCGGTTTGTACGCATGCGCATACTATCATTTCGCAAATCAAATAAGTGTGTGTTTTAGAAGTAAGGGACATTAGATTTCAGGGAGGTACCATCACTCACGTTACGTCACTCATGTTACTTCCTCTTCATGGTTTCTAACACAGCATAAAATCTGAGTTTGATGAACTGCAACGTAATGAAACTC